AAATTATGTAAATTGTTTGATTTGATTACGATATAAAAATGCAAATACACAAAATAACTAAACATCTGAGAAATTCCAAAGAGAAAGGAACTAACTGCGAAGATTATGGAGCTTCATAGAAGATAACGTATGGTAAAATGTATACATGTACTTACTTTTCGATACTTAATTAGAAATCTTCGTACTAAATTGTGGAGACATAGTTTTAGGTTCAAAATAACTGGAGACACAGTAGATATTTTATTCTTATTTTTGTTTTTAAAAATAAAATAACACAAGTTGTTTCTTTGCAATCATCATCCCTACATGTTAACTACATCTGCAAACCAGTGCTCAGATAAACAGGTTCATTAAAAAACAACAAAATAATTCATGCAATTGCAGTGTCTGTTTGAATTCACCCTTGTTAATTAAAGAATTATCGGTTGAATTTCTAAGGTTGATATGATGCAATTTAGACTATATATTAGATCACAGATACAAATACACTGTAGTTTAATGTATTCTTTTTCAGTCAGTCAGATGCAACGTAGGACTTCGTACATAAGTACATCAGTTCATGTTGCCATACCACATCAGCACAGAGATATAGTTGTCAATTCAAATCCAATAGTAGTAGAGTTACCAAGGGTATTAGAAGTAATCGGAGAGGTTAGGATTAGAAGTTATTATTCAAGAAGTATGATTCAGTGAGAAAAGTTTAGAAAGTCAAAACTAGAGGCGTTGAAGGATCCAGAAAATTAGGATTTGAGAGAACACAAAGAATAAATGCACCTGCGCCACTGCAAACGGTTCTGAGCCATATCATTCAGGATCTCTAACCATCGAGTTCTAACATCTCGCGGACCCCAATCAGGTGGTAGTCGACAACCACCGACATGGCTCAGTCCTCTTGTCAATGACTTCATGGATTTCTGCCATGTTTTGGTCTTGCTGCCCCTAACTTTCTTCCAACCTACTCCTACACTACAAAACAAAGCTCGTCGAGGCAGTCGGTGGTTAGGCATACGCAGCACATGTCCCGACCACCTCAACTGATGAAGGTTCACCACTTAATCTATTGATCTGCCATCCTTACCTAGTATTCGTTTCCTAATGGCAGCGTTGCTCACTGGCCATGTTTCACAGCCATAAAGTAAGAAGGAGTGAACTACTGCATAGTACACTCGTGCTTTAGTCAGCAAACGGATATCTCGCCTGCGTCATAAGTGACGCTGGCGAAAGTCAATCGAGCCTTCTGTATCCGTGTTGAGATTTCGTCAGTCACAAGGCCATCAGCACTGATGAGACTCCCCAGACAAGTGAAGCGATTAACACACTCGACTACTTTACTCCCTATCACTAGTTCAGGTGCCGATGCAACCCAGTCTTGACGCAACATTTTGCATTTCAAGGGGAAAACCGTATTCTTTTTGGTTAGAATTATTCTTAAATTGAGGGAGCTAAATATAATTATGGATCAAAAATTTTTCATTTATTTACATTAACATGTCAATTCATTGTTATTTAAACGATACATTCGATAATCAATTTATAATGAATAAAGAAATTGATAGAATATTTCAATTGGTTTAAATTAAATACATTATTTGAATAATAAAACAAATGATAATCGCTAGTCATATATGATTCAATTAAATTTTTCATTCTCAATTAACATACATAGAACTCATCAATCAAAGCATGATACTTTTATCAAATCAATAAACTTCACTATGAAAAACTAGTTGACAAAGTTGATCAATGAAATTCTAATAATTTATAATAATAATAATAATAACAATAAAGGATGCACTAACCTGATGCTCTTTTTTGTATTAAATCCAAATAACTATTAATCAGATCAATAGTTTCCAGATGTCCACCAGTTTCACGAACATAATGTCGAATTAAAGGGAGAAGACCTGGAAAAGTACTCTATGATAAGATATTTTTTTAAAAGAAAAAAGCAACAGAAAATAAAAATGAAGCAATCAATTTCTTTCTCAAATGTGAATACAAACATTATAGAAGATTTTAAGAAAGTAACACAAAATATCATAATAATATTCATGATATGGAAAGAAAATTACCACATTATGTTGTACCACAGAAATTTACTGAAAATGAATTGTTATCTATCCAACATTAATAACTTATCATCATGTCAGTTAAAAAACGATGTTAAAATTAATAAACTGACAATTGGTGCTCAAAAAGTTATTTGTAGTTGCGAAAGTGATTTGAAACAATAATAAATTTATAATTATTGAAAGTACTCTTGAGTTTTTTTTCAGTAGTTGATATTCTGTTCTGTAAACATATCAATCATATTTAACTAGTAACTTCAAATGTGCCGCATAAAGAAGTAGCAATGTAGAAGCCATTAACTAACGCTCTGATGTAGGTCATCTTAGATAAATGAAAATTGGAGATTAACAAAAGCGAAGCAAACATAATAACTTTTCTATATTCAGTAATTCAGCTGTCTGTCTACTAGTGAAATTCTACTTGAACATTTTTTACTAGCATTTAGTTTACTTATTGACACACACAACAAATTAACCACATCGATGTTTATAATCGTTCCACAGCCATTCATCGAACAAAACGTGCAATGAAAAAATCCATTTTTTACTACGTGATTATCTGTTTTTCTGCTTGCTTCAAATTGTAGTCAGTTGAATACATTTGATCAGTAAAAAAATTAATAATGATTTTATGCTAGCCGTTTAAATCTATCCTGTTCCATTGATAAAGATAACTATTATTACATGAACAAAATGATGATCACTGTCAGCAAGAAAAAAAATCTAGCAACAGTACTAGTACAATAACTAAGTATAATTTTATCAATTCATAGATAGTTTTCAGTTAGAGTTTTGGAGGTTTGTGTTTTTACACATTTGAATTCGTCAATCAATCATTGTTGGGTCACCATTAGAAACCTGGAAGCACTGAACGGCCGTTTCGTCCTGGTATGGGACTCATGCACCTCGCAGGATTCGAGACCTGGACTTTCGGTATTGTGCGCGAACGCCTAACTATCGGACCTTTGGGCCGGCATACAACGGTGTTAATGTCTAACTCTGATTGATCTAGGGATTTTGCGCGACCTCACCCATTTGTCTTTGGTAGTTACTGCTTATACCCGACAGGACTGAACTCCATTGGTCACGTCTTCTCAAATAGAACTCCGAGAATTTCCTCACGAAGCTAGTCACTAGTGAGCAGGTTTTACGATATTTTCAGTTAGAGTTTTGGAGATTTGTGTTTTTACACATTTGAACTCATCAATGAATCATTGTTAGACCACTATTAGAAACCTGGAAGAACTAGATAGTTATTAGTTTATAGATTGACACAAATTTAATAGTAGTAGTATTCAATTTGTTTAGTCTTATTTAATTGACAATTCTTCAACTTATAATAATCATGTGTAATGCTTTTTTTATGTGATTTTTTTTCGAGCAAACTTTTTTTATGAGGCTTAAAGGCCACTGACTTGTTGGATTAAACAAAGTACACATAACTGGACAAGGGTCTAATAATTAATTAATTAGAATTTTAGTACCTTAACCTAGAAACAATCAACAAAAAATTTTCGTTCATAAAATTACAGTTATAACATCGCTTATTCTCTAATTTTAGCTTTTGAAAACTAAGTAGAAATAGTTTGTTTTTTTTCTATTTCAAAAAAAGCCTTTTTTCTTGACTGTGAACATGAAAATTCATACTATTAAACAACATATGATTAGTGGTAAAGAATACAGTTTAAAAGGAAAGAAAGATGCAGTAACACAACTTAATATCATATGAACCGGATATGAATAATGATAATGATACTTCCTCATTTAGCCAACAAACAACCAGCTTCAAAACATGTGATAATAAGTAATTAGAATTATCATTATTATTATTATTATTATTATTAACTTTTAATATTCCATTACAAACATTTCCTTACATTTTTATTAAATAATAAAAATTAATGATGAGTGAGACACAATAAGCATGGATGATTATTTTATTTCTAAGAAGAAAAAAAAAGGAACTCTGATATCATTAACAAAACCGCTTTTTTCTTTTACTCTACTCCTACTTCAAAAGACAACTTTTCTATTGAAAAGAAAAAAATATATCAGTAAACAATAACAAGAATAACAACAACAACAATTGATGATGGTGACAGAATATAAACAATGTAATCTACATAATATTTTATTGTAAAATAAGAAAAAAAGAAAAAAGCAGATATAACTGTATACAGAGAATAAAAGTTCAATGATTATGGAATCCATAGCAATGATTAACTAATGAATTAAGTAATTTTTATAAGAAAAAAAAAATAATCACAGTGAATATTCATTCGATAAATTGTAACAATGGAAAATCAATAAACTGCCTTTACATATATGGTCGAATAAAATTTATACAAATCAATATTAACATTATACTGACTGATACTTGGATGCACAAAAATTGTTTTAAATCAATGTGTTAATTCAAAAGAAGAAAAGAATTCCATTTCCTTTTTTAAACGTTAGCAGTTATCTGACTTAACAACCAAAACCAAGAAAAAGAATTGACTTTATGTAAATATTGTTACGCATGCACGTAGACATGTCATTTGATATGCTTGAACTATTACGAGTTTACCTTAGTCGGAAAACGAGAGCGAGGATCTGGCGACACGATAGGCCACTCTAATCTGATTGTCCCAAACCCCCATTGACTAAAAGAAGAAGACTTGATATGAAGTAGAACCTATATTCTATAAGCATCCAGGAAGTACTAGGTCCGAGTCCAGAAGAGGATAAGGATGCAGACCATAAAACGTTACAGATGATGCATATTTGTACAGTTGGGTCGAATAGGAAACAACATTGAAGACTGTGACATTGACGATTAGGACGACCAATAGGAAACAAAATTTGAAGTATGTGATATTGATAGTTAGGATGACCATAATATTGACCAGTAGGAATTGGCCAATAGAATAAGACTTACAAAAATAATTATCTTAGGATATTTTTGATGAATATCCTAACAAATATCTAAAGTATATCTTAAATAAATTATAAATTGTAATGACAATATTCAATAAGGATATGAGAATGTTGATGATTTTTATCAACAGAATGCAATATTCAATTATCAAAAATCAAAAAGATTATAATATTAATGTTTATCTCTGCAAAATTATTTTCTAATTAATTTATTTTACAGTCAGTCAACTTGTTTTATGCTTATAATTTTCAAAAATTGTTTGAAAGAGAATTATTTTTATCACGATAGAATATCAGCTGAAGAAAAAAAATGTTCTACATGAACTAATCTACACATGGCTTCTTCTATTTTAATAATTTTATTTGTTAACTTAACTGGAAAGAAAAGAAATGTTATTCTTTTTTGAAATAATTAAAATCAATTGGTAATATTTATTCAAATAGAAATCAGATTATTCTATCATAATAAATGAAATCTGATGAAATACATATGACATGTGTAATTATGTTCATCATCTCTTTTCCATTATTGTTACGTCTATTGTATGAGGCTAGTGTTGGGGTATTCAGCAAATATACTAAAATAGAATATTTGTAAGTCTAATTCTATTCGTCAATTCCTATTGGTCGTCCTAACTGTCAATGTCACAGACTTCAATGTTGTTTCCTATTCGACCTAACTGTATAAATACGCATTATCTGTAACGTTTTATGACCCGGACCCGAACCCTTAGTCCGGGATCCTGATTCTCTTCTGGACTTGGACCTCGTACTTTCTCGATGCTTGTAGAATTCATGTTCTACTTCATATCGAGTCTTCTTCTTTTAGTAAAGGGGGTTTAGGACGCTCGGATTAGAGTAGCCTGTCGTGTCGCCGGATCCTCAATCCTAGCTCTCGTTTTCCGACTAAGATAAACTCGTAATAGATCAAGCATATCGAATGACGTGTTTACATGAATGCGTAACAACTAGAATTATAAAAAATTTAATTGTTTATTTTGAGTATATGCAACAGTGACAATCAGAATCAATAGTTCGCACGGTCAATTAATCCTTTAAATAGAACTGACAGAATTCCTACATCGAATGTATCAACAGCTTGATAGCATTTCGATTCGATCGAATACTATCCATAGATATTGTTCATTCAATAAACTCCTCAATAACATTACTAAAAAAATCTGTTATTTATTTCTACAAGCTTATAAAATCATAAAATTCCTCACTTCTCAAATCTCCAAATTAGTGTATAGCAGCAATTAACAAAATAAGTGATGATTAATTCTTCACAATTTAAACTTAGAATCATATGTAAATCATACAAAAAATAGCATATAGTAGTATATCGAATCCAATAAAAATAAAAACTTAGAAATTTTTGAAACCACTAAATAACACACCGATAATTGATGAAATCAATAAAACTGAACAACCTTTACAACCCTATAAAAACACTTATTAAGTGCTCACTAATAAGTAGCTTCGTGACGGGATTCCCAGAGATTTAAGGAAACGTGTAACCAGCCAAGTTCACCTTTGCTGAATGTGAGTCAGTCACCCACATCGAAGAGGTGGTATAATATTGTGGATTAATTCAAGTTAGAGATTAACACCGTTGGATACCGGTTCAGTGATCGAGAGGTTAAGCGTTCATTCGCGAAACTGGAGGTTTTGGGTTTAAGTCCCATTTTATAGGTCAAGGATGAGCACTGCTAAGTAGTCCGATAGTAGGACGAAACGGCTTTTCAACGATTCTCGGTTTCCAATGGTGGTCTAAAATTGATCGGCTTATGATTCTCATAATAAGATAACTTTTTTCGAAAGGTTAAGTAAAAAAAAATGAAAGAAATATCGCAATGATTAATCATCATGAACTAATCAAAGCTGTATCAAAATCGCCACAACTTCTTTCTATTGTCATTAATGATAACTAATCAGTCACAAAAAGTTTTACAAGAAAGAATAATTACTGTAGAACTGAAAACATAGGAACAAATCATGAACTATTCACCTAAATCGATGCAAAGTTCCAACTTGGGAAAGAATATACAAATGAAGAGATAATGATACATGAATGAGCGCAGTGTGAAACGCAATAGTAAATATTATATGAAGAACTATTTCAGCTTATATTAGACAATTAGTTATAAGTAATGCCAAACCTAGCACATATATGCATCACTTAAAATTATCATACTAAATCACTAACATACTGAAATGAAATGAACACGATAAATAGTGAAATGGTAGCAATTAAATCAATGGTAATAATCAAGATTAGATAAAGATTATATATTTACAGAAGAATGAATAAATTCTAGGAATATAAGGTAGATAATGATTTTACACCTAAAACAATGAATAGATCTGATTCAGCACCGTGCCACACAATATCTTTACCAAATTTCAACCAGGTAGTAGTAGTTTGAACGAACCAATATAGTTCAGACCAACAGTTGTTATTGACTGAATTACATCAGCTGAGGCGAGGACATGATTCGAGACAGGTCAAAGTTTTCTTTTAACCTAAAATCTTTTTATTTTTGTTTAAATGCTTAACTTTTATTGCAGAAATACGAACATAAATAAATGCAAAAATTGACACTTTGTACCGTTTTTTTTTAAATTGACAAAAATAGATTTTAAAAACATTCACATGAGTCATTTTGAAATGTATCAAATAATATTGTGCTTTAACAACATAATTTAATCACAGAGAAACTTTTGATTGAATTATTATTATTATTATTATTATTATTATTATTATTATTATTATCAATTAGAATATAATTCAATTCATAATCAACAATTACATATTCTAATTGTAATAGTCGATGTAAATTATTTCATAATTTTAAAATAGGAATAGTACAATAAAAAGAAAAATGATATTGGAACACTTTAAGGCTGAAATTACAACAACAACAACAACAACAACAACAATACTCAACACAAAAGCTTGACTTTGTCTAATTTTCATGTTTCAAACATTTACTTAACTAAGCTTTATATACACATTGTTTTTAGTTCAGATACTTATTAGAGTAGTCTCCACAGGATATGAATTAATGATTATTGACATAGGTTATTGTAACCAAAAAAAACCTTTTTTTTGTAACAAATTTGGAGAATCAATGAGAATCAGAAACTACAAATCGATAATGAGGTTCTTATTTGGAAATATAACTTAATAGTAGTTTGATGAGTATTAAAATAAAATAAAACAACTGCATATTGCCCATTAAGTTTGAAATTTCCTCAAGTTTTGATATCAATAAGTGATGAAGACAATCAATGAAATAAGCCACCTCTTTGCTATTACTGGATAAAAAAAAACAATACAGTATATTCAGTGAGATATAACACTAACATTTCAGTATGTTGTGTTTGATGTGGTGGTCCAGTTTTAGCAGCTAGGTTGACTGAGATATTAGGTAGAATCTGCAAACATGTTCGGGATGCGGTTTTCCCCCTCGAAATGCAAAATGTTGCTTCAAGATTGGCTTGTATCGGCACCTGAACTGGTGATAAGGAGTGAAGCAGTCGAACGTGTTGACCGCTTCACTTATCTTGGGAGTCTCATCAGTGACGATGGCCTGGTGACTGACGAAATCTCAGCTCGGATACAGAAGGCTCGATTGTCTTTTGCCAACATGCGTCACTTATGGCGTAGGCGAGATATCCGTTTGCTGACTAAAGCACGAGTGTACTGAGCAGTAGTTCGCTCGATCCTACTTTATGGCTGTGAAACATGTCCAACGAGATTAGAAGATATTCGTAGGTTACTGGTTTTCGATCATAGGAGTATCCGAAGCATTGCTTGTATATCCTGGGACACCCGAGTGAGCGACGCTGCTATTAAGAAACGGGTGCTAGGTAAGGATGGCAGATCAATAGATGAAGTAATGAAACTTCATCAGTTGAGATGGTTGGGACATGTGCTGCGTATGCCTAACCACCGACTGCCTTGACGAGCTTTGTTTTGTTGTATATGAATAGGTTGGACGAAAGCTAGGGGCGGCCAAACCAAAACATGGCACAAATCCATGAAGTCATTGACGAGTGGAATTAGTCATGTCGGTAGTTGTCGACTACCTGGTTGGGGTCCGCGAGGTGATAATAATCGATGGTTAGAGACCTTGAATTACATTGCTCGAAACCGTCGGCAATGGCGCCGATGCATTTATTCTTTGTGTTCTCCCAAATCCTAATTTTCTGGATCCTTCAACCCCTCTAGTTTTGACTTTCTAAACTTTTCCCACTGAATCATACTTCTTGAATAATATCTTCTCATCCTAACCTCTCCGATTACTTCTAAATACCTTTACTACCTCTACTACTATTGGATTGGAATTGACAACTATATCTCTGTGCTGATGTGGTATGGCAACATGAACTGATGTACTTATGTACGAAGTTCTACGTTGCATCTGACTGACTGACTGACTGACTGATGTGAGTTTTTCGGATGTAGTTCCAAAGGTGTGAACTTAATAATATTCCATTTTTATTTTCAATCATATTCATACCATTATGTTTGTTAAAAAAAATTGATTAGGAATTGAAAGTGGAAAACTGTTTCAGTTTAATCTCAAAATTCAAATATATACTATCTAATTTATTGGAAAAATTAATTATTTCTATTTATTATTATTGTTGTTAATAATAATAATAATAATAATATCTTACATTTCCATTGATAATTTCATTCACTGACATTAATACATAAGAATCATCTGGATTGACTTCAGCAAATGATGATGTTGAATTACAAGCTGATGATCCATTTACATGGTATTCAAATGATTTATTAAAAATGGTATCTTGTTCATCACAAGAAATTGTACAATTCGAATCAGAACGATCACATTTTGTAGAATAAGTACGATTGTATCTAAATTTAGAACATGAATTAGCTAAATCCACTGGAGTTCCATCTGTATTAAATAATCAAATTGAATTTTAAGTGGTAAGTAATTAAGAAGTAATTATTGTTTAAAGAAAATTGTGGCGAAAATCTGAACTGAATTCAATTCAATGTGTTGAACAGTGAAGTGTGACTTAAACGTCTCAGACTATGAATACGACCAGATTCTGGAGTAATGACTTTGAGTGTTTACTGTCGATAAATTTCTAACCTACAATAAAGCACCTATTCAAACTTTATGTTCTTACAATGAGTTTTATCAGTTAATTATATCATTTTATGGCAAAGAATAAGACATTTTGCTAATTTGTTTTATTTGATAAATTATGAAATTCTGTAAGAAATGTAAGAATATTATTATTATTAATTGTAATTCAACTGTACAAAATGTATGTCCAATAAATATTGACAGATAATAGAGAATTTTACTCATGAATCATTTGAAGTACAGTTAGTTTATTTGTTAGTGGGACAAGCAAGCAAGTGAATAGTGATACAACTTCCTTATTGCCGATAAGATGGACAAATCGAAAACACAGGCCAGTTACTCGGTTGCAGTTGGACTCTAACGCCAGATCCTACGAGTCTGCTCGAAGGGGAGGTGTTAGTGGGACACAGATGGAATAAGACATGACCGCGTTGGCTGCGCGCTGATTGGCCAATTCCTATTCAATCAGCTCCTGATCAATACTTGGAGAGCATTCTAGAGAATTCTCGTGTTGTTAGCTGCACGCTGATCGGCTAAGTCTAATCGATCAGCGCTAGTCGATCACGTAGATTAGATTCCAGAAGCTTCTCACGTAAAAAACTATAAAGATACTAACGTTGTTTCTATTTCGCCGTCGCTTCGACTTCTTGCCTCCATTTAACCCTGCTTTCTGGAATATAATCTTTTCCTGTTCCACCGTGTTCTGAGTTGGGGACTTGTCGAGTGTATTGTTGTCCGAGAATACTAAGCAACATGAATAGCTGGGTTTACTAAGAGAGATTGGTAACATTTATAATCTGATAAATTTATTGTTTATATATATTAATGTTTTAATATAATGAGAATTTTTTTAAATGATAACAATTAATTACAATTATTACCTGTAGTTATTAAATGACCTTGTTTAAAATAGAATTTTTCATTGAGAACAGCATCACGTTTTAAAGCTGTTGCAATGTTTTCATCAACTTTTGAAAGTGGAATTAATAAATTCAAATTAAACTTTAAAATTGTTCTAGATAGTAATAAAATAAAAGTAACAAAAGCAGCATTTTCAAAATCTGTTAATTGTAATTCAGTTGGTCGAAATTCAACACGCCAACCTATTGATGAATTCAATGGTGGAGGCTTAAAACGCATTGATTGCCAATTAGTGGACTGAATAGTCTAATGAAAAGAAATCAAATAAAACATACATAAGATGAAATGGATATTGAATTAACAAAAGCTTTTTAAAAAATGGCGCAATTTTCAAAATTTTTCAATTGTTTAAGGAATTCTTGGGATTGAAACAAAAAAGATTAATGCCTCACAGGTAAATTTACAAGTAACCTTACTGACCTCAATAATTTTCTTACGTATAATGATATGGAAGTGCCGAAACGTTATATTCCTCATAAACGTTTCGTAAGAAAACAAACAAATTTAATTTTTTTTCATTAGTACTCACTTATTTAGTAAAGTAACAACAGTTCAATAGAATAAAACACTGTAGTTTACATCACAGATTGGTCTTTTATATCTACTCAAAACTATGAAACACTGGACATCTATTTCGACCGGCCATAAGAGTCCTTGGTGGCGCGCATCTACAACGACATCGGGAATCGAACTCAAGATCTCAAGATGAAAATGTTCAATCTTTAGACCGTTGAGCCGGCACCCTATGGTGAACATGTTTAACTCCAATCAATTCATAATACTACACAATCATCTTCTAATGGTGAGCAACTATCTCACACTTAAACATGGTTGAAACCCACTGAACAAAGATTTTTACATGAATTTCAAGAACCACCTCTCGAAATTAAACACTAATGATCAAGTTATTATTACCACAGAAATTAAAATATCTTAAAATCAATGTAAATGAATTTTCACCTCACCAAATACCAGCTAACCGGAAAGATAGTTCATTAAAAAACTTACTTCAAAATGTTCAACTGTTTCTTCATTTTCTGGACAATTCAAGCTTTCAGAAAACACACTGATAGGATCCCGTATGAAAAGATGAGCTACATGTAATGCTAGTGTATGATCAACACCTTTGTAAACAAAATAATATATATAAATAATGATTGGTAAACTTTATGAACATATTTTAAGAGTGTTAAATTTATTATGATTTGTAATGTTACAGTAAGTAAAGAATTTGAACTTAGATAACGCCTCTAACAACAATTCGCCATTTTTTAGTGATGCTTCAGTGAACAATACAAATGTAAAAAAAATGGTTCAAAAACATTGTGCCCATTGTCTCATCTCTTGGTATATATTACTTACTCACTTAAGCCTGTTAGCATTAATGCAGCCTCGGCCGCCGATCAACATCCTCCAGCCTACTCTGTCTTGGGCCTTCCTTCTTCAGTTCTATATATTTACCCATTGATATGTATCTTTGGTTTCAAAATGAAAACAACTTTCATCAACAATCACTCCATTGATATGTCAAGCCAAATTAAAACTCTGATGTGAAACTTTCAAATAATTGACAAGCCATTACTTTCGTGAGTGTAAAAAATAGTTATTTTAAGTGTGAACATCACTCAAATAACCTGTAAATATACATTAGTTCGTAAATCATTGCTTATTTTGAATGGAAATCAAATCTTTGTCACATATGGATGTTGGTTTTAATAAGAAACTGAACTGTGTGTATTATGCAACTTAATGCGTGAATAATTATCAAGGAAAGTAGGACAACATAAGAAACTAAGTGTCATCTATCGACAAACCGTTTAGTGAACATAAAAGATAAAAATTTAATAAACTGATAGCCTCGAGTTAGCCAATCACAATAGAGCCTAGTGTATTTGTGTAGAATGTAGTGTTGCGATAAGTAATCTGTGTGATGAACGAAGACGTCCAGACCAGATGTAAAAGTCGTGTACTTAGAAACGATACAGTGTATGAACAAAATGTATGCACTTTATTAAAATCACTATATCAGTCAGTTTTGCCCTCAAACATACTTGCTGGAATTTACGAAATAAAGAAACCTTAGATTCACAAACTTCTCATCACTAGAATAATTTACAGACATGTAGAATGCATACGTGGAGAGATTTTAAAGTCAATCAATGAAGTATTTCGGTTACATCTTACAGATTCGTGAGTAATTTATTCCAAATAGAAAGATCAAACATGTTGAAAATCTAATATTTGAAAAGTGAATGTAATTCATTAATACGATAAAACATGCTAGCCATAATCTCTGGTTAGCTCTTCATTTGTTCAAGGATATGGTCACTGTAACTCGAGGCTGAGTTCACTAACCACCAGATCGTAGACTCATTAACTTATATGAAAGTTACATGGATAATACAAAGAGATTGACTAAACAATAAAGCATATAACTTTACAAAAATTGTAAATTAAACTAATAATACGTTCTGTACACTAACTTGCCTCCTTCAATTAAAGTATTATAATAATCTTCATCATAAACGAGTGGAATGTCATTGAATTTAGCACCCAACGGAGAAAGATAAAAAGAAACTGATGCAAAACGTGACTTGGGAATAACAAATTTGTCGTTGTGCAGAGGCTGAAAATTAACGAGACAATAAGATAAAAGCAGTTATATAAGTATAAAAAAACTCTTAAATAAGCTTTAAGTACACATAAACAATTATAAACACAGCAATGTTTAATAATATAATTTAGATCTTTCGACTTAAGAGGATGAACAAACTAGCGTGAATCATTTCTCTAGAGTATAATTTTTAGAGAAGTTATTATTAACTAAACCTAGTATCATTCAATGACATTTTGAATCCGTCCGTTAGTCAGTCATAAACAACGTAGAACCGAAACATATATGTGCATCAATTTAAGTTGGCAAACCTCATTAGCACAGAGATATTACATTATTCAAGCGAATTCCAGATTAGTATAAATGAGAATAATCTACGAAGAGGTTATAGAGATGACAAAGAATGAATGCACCTGAACCATTACAAGTAATTCCGAGTCTTGTTGCTCAAACACATAATAATTAATTACAAAAATCACGTGAACCTTAATTGGATAATCAATACCCACCTACATTGCTCCTCAGTTGAGTTGTCAATCACCACTAATATTGGACTGATGTTAAATTCTAATTTATCTATCTCTAGTTTTACTCTAGCCCACTCCAACAATGGGACAGTATTGCCTTTCAGCGTAAACTATAAGAACTTATCATTGTAATGAAAACGTATTTTATAAATAACTTAGCATGAAATAGAGTAATTTTCAATTAATTATTTCTTTTAGAATTTATCATTTGTTTATATCCTAGTGTATGTTTGTATAACTGAATTACAATAAACTAAACAAGATTATGATCAATTAGTTATTATGAAAAATAGCTCAAAATTAATTACAATGAAAAGTGTACATGACATTCATTCTCAGTATTAATGTTATTTTGCATTGTTCATTAATTCCTTTGCTTTGAACTATATTCTCTAAGTTGATTACTTTTTAATATCATTGAAATATTTTCAATATGTTAGGATATTTATCCAATATCCTAAGAGAATTATTGGTCGATTCCTACTGGTCAATTTTATGGTCTTCCTAGATAACAATGTTACACACTCCAATGTTGTTTCTTATTGGTTGTCCTGACCATCAGTGTCACTCCAAATGTTGCTTCCTATTGGTCGCCTTAACTGTCAATGCCACAGAATTCGATGCTGTTTCCTATTCTACCAAAATGTATAAATACGCATTATCTGTAACATGTTATGACCACAACTAGGACCAGGGCTCGGTCCCGGATCCTAGACCGGGATCCTGATTATCTTCTGGATTCGGACCTTGTACTTTCTGGATACTTGTAGAATACAGGTTCTACTTCATATGACGTCTTCATATTTTTACTAAATATGGGGAATGGGATAATCGGATTTGAGTAGCCGGATCCTCGCTCTCGTTTTCTGACTAGGTAAACTTGCAATAGTTCAAGTATATCAAGTTGACGTGTTTACGTGTAGGCGTAACACATTATTATTTTTAGAATCTTAACTCCTATTTATTTTTATTAATTTTAATTTAATATAATAATGCAGTAGAAACTGTTCTGAACGATGAGATATTTTAGGTTGATTGTAACTGACTAGTGCTTCATAGAAACTATGTTTAATAAATCAGAGATCATTATTTGTGTACATTGTATTGTTAAATGAGAAAAATGAACAATTAATAAACCTTAAGTCCTCGTTCTTCTTCTGTTCGATCATCAACCGATGCAGATATAATACCCCAACGGCAATCCCAATCCAATAAGTAGCCACGGATAGCAGGAGTTGCTGCACTTAAAGCCATAACAATTGGACATATGGTTGCTAGTTGATCATATAAGATTCTGGCCTCGTCAATACAACATGCCTATCATTCAATAAAAGTAAATAATAATCGATATACAGACAATGACATAATATGATGAATGAGAGTATCAAATATCGAATATGTAACACAATATAACACACAAGCTTGATACATCTGATGAAAGTGATATATAGTAAATTGGCTAAGTGCTCAATGCCATATTATTTAATAATGTAATGATGTAGTAATTACACCTTTAAAATCATATTCTAATCCTACATTAATTTGTTGACAAAGTTCACTTGCTCAATTAATAATACTTAAAAATAAGTTATTAATTCAGTGATATATAAAAAAATAATTATCTTAAAAACTTATCACTTTCTTGTAATTAATAGAATACTATATTTAAGTTATAGACTAATGTTTTGTGAAAAAATATCAAATAAATAAAAAACAAAAGCTTAGGTCATAGAAGTTGAATAATAAATTCAATTTAATCAAACAGTAAATAATTTAAAGTAATTTTTTTTTAAAAAAAGTTGAAATAATTATAACTCGCTACCATTAAGTGTCTAAATCAGATCATTGATAACATCTATGATTGAGCTAATCAACCAGCACTAGTAGCTTTGAATCATTTGTTAAGTCAATTAGTGGTCGTCGATTTAGCAATTTCTTTTCGTGATCAGTCCGTTGAGTTCAGATAGTGAGTTAAAAAAAGCTAACTGTATACTAAGTATAGTAAATTGGACAACAGTAGTTAAGGGTTTAATCAGAAACTCATCATACTTACTTACTTATTTACGCCTGTTACCCCCAATGGAGCATAGGCCGCCCACCAGTTTTAGAAACTCATCATAATATATATATATATATATATATAATCTATTTACTTAATAATTAGCCAGTAGGAATGTATACAAGAAGTAGTCCATAAATTAATCCTGGCAGTTACCATTTCTTTACTCTTCAACGGATATAACAAATACAAATGTCTTCATATACAAAAATAACTTCAAGAATGTGAAGATTTTCAATTGACTAAGTTTTTCCTAAAGAACTGAGCTGTAAATTGAAAAGTTTCATAAAAATAATAATTGAATATCTTGATCTCTTATGTAAACACAAGTCGGATTAAATTCCTACATTGGTCTATCTTTTCTTATTTTCAAAACACTTTTCCTTTATTCTTGGAAAAATTGTGTACATTTGTAAACGATCTAGAAACTAGCATGAAGCTAAATTGTCAGATTATATATACACGTTAGATAGAATAAAAACTCAATTGTTTTTTCTCAGTTAAACATAAAATTAATATGTTTACTTATTCCTACCTAAGGCACGACACAATGACATGAGGACATGAATCAAATTACTTTATGTTTGTATTAGCTGACTCTTACTAAACTACATGAATATATTTTGTGCATGAAATGTTGACCATTACCTTATTTTTATCGAAGCTTAGATCATTAATAATGAATTACCTAGATAAGATTTCAGATTGCTTAAGGTATCATCAATATCACTTAATTTACAGATGTCTACATACACATTTAAATCATTGAAAATTGTATGGATCACGTCTTCTTTACAGAGTCTTAATCACACACACACACACACACACACACACAAACAGAATTTATTCAATTGAGAATAACCTACTGATTATAAAAGCTTAGATGCTATTATTCTTACTACTATTAATAATCTAAGTTACAACAAAATAACAACTGACATGTCTGCTCTCAGCATCTAATGGCCATACAATAAAAGGTCAAAAGTACAACTAAAATACATATTTTTTTATTAATTTCTAGACATTCCATTGAAATAAAAAAAATATAAACACCACTGCTAACTAAAAATAATATAAACGCGCTTGTAAACAATTAATAGGTTAATTTTACTATTCAACTGTGGATACTTAAACTTAACTAAAGCGATAGTTGATGGTATCTTCAACATAGGACATACGAAATGAGAGCTTTTGTGCCAGACAACAGACACCATCAGAGTTTATTGTTGGAACCGTGGATCTTAAGCTTAATATTTATTTGAAACCTAGTTTCTCAGTCACTCTTCAATTCATTAGTTGTTAGCCGTAAACCTTGGTAAGAGGATATATGAGGGCTGTTTAATTACTTACTCCTGTTATCCCTAATGTAGCATAGGCCGCCGACAAACGTTCTCCAACCTACTATGTCCTGGGCCGCCCTTTGCAGTTTCTTTTCATGTCTGCTTCCGATTCTCGGTGTAATGCGTTCTACGGTCTTCCTCTTTTCCTTCGGCCTTGGGGATTCCAAGTGAGTGCTTGCTCTGTGACGCAGTTGGATGTTTTACTCAATGTGTGTCTTATCCACTTCCAGCACTTCTTCCTGATTTCTTCGCCTGTGAGAATCTGGTTTGTTATCGCTCACAATAGGTTGTTGTTGATTGTGTCTGACCAACATATCCTCAGTATATTGCTAATAAACACTTGTATCTTCTGGATGATGGTTTTCGTTATTCTCCAAGTTCCCGCTACATACAGTAGAATAGGTTTGAAGTTCGTATTGAAAATTGTGACTTGAGTTGCAAATGTTTTTCACTTGTAGAAATGCTGTCCTTGCTTTATCCATCGGTCTCTTTACATTTGCGTCAGATCTATGTTGCTCATCAAAGATGCTGCCCAGATATGTAAACATTTTTACATCACCCAAAGCTTATCCGTCACGTGTGACTTGGTTGGTGCATGTGGTGTTGTATCGAAGGGCCTTGCTTTTTTTCTTTGTGTTTGTTGAGATCTATCGCTGCTACACCGGTCGTATTCCCTGGCATTTGATCTCGCAAGTGGGACAGATGAGCTAGACCATCTGCAAAGTCCCGATCTTTTAGCTTCATCTGAGCTGTCCACTGTATCCTGTGCTTCCGCCGCCCCCCCCCCCCGCAGATATTGACATCATCATAATGTCAACACCAGACAACAGTTTGAATTTCTTTCAAATGACCTAATAATTCATTTCATAGATGCTAGGCGATGAGAATGTTTTTCGGATTCACTTCAGAAAAAAATGGAAGGAGTCTTTTGCTAATGAGCCGAAACCATAAGAAAATAGATATCTCTGGCACACTTTATTATTAATAATTTAGCTTCAGTCCCAGATGAAAACTATCCTTTATAAATTAACTAATTAAAACTAGTAATCAAAATAACTAATGAATTCTTGACAAAAAATATAGAAAAAAAATACTTAAGTCATTTGAGAAGGCGGCATACTTTTTAAATTTGTTTGTGTTGCAGTTTTAAATAATTTTTCCTAAAATTCAAAATCATTAAACGGATCACCCAAAAGTTATTTCTTAATTATAGTTCTTTGTAAATTTTAATGCATATCAAATTCCCCTATCTCGTTCCGCCATACCCTAATAATAATAGCTTATAAACCACACACACACATTCATCCCGGCTTTTTATTATCTTACATAATTTTAATCTTCTACGGTTACACCTTAATAGTTTTAAAGGAAACACTAGCAGGAGGATTTGACTTTCGGCTTTTTTTTCTTATCCTTATAGATATCAGGGGTTTGATCCACAACTCCTGATCTCCAAATTAAAACGAAAAATTATCGAAACTGAATTCACTGGCGGAATTATGTATTCACATCAAAAATCCTTTGCAAATTGTAATAGATATAAGGCAAAAATTAGGTTTTCATATATTATTCAGTAGTATAATATGTTATGTAACCATTGTTCGGCACTTTTTACTCAGAAACAAAAAAAAATGTAGTTCACTAATTTCTTATGGAATTCTGTAGAAATTATTAACCCACACCCGATTGCGAAAAAGTTAATAATATTATTTAAGTTTCCAAACATTTGCTTGTAGAATATGATTCCATTCTGCAACAGATTAGTTGAAATTTGAATGTTTACATCAGTAAGACACAGCTTGATGTAGAGAAAGACATATGATAAATTTCAGATTAAAATACATTGTAACAAAAAAATACTTTTTTAACTCAGAGAAAACAAACCTGGAAAGTGATCTGCAAACAACTACAACCCATTCCAAAACCCATAGCATCTAAGTAAACATGGTTCGGTAAAGCTGCAGATATTGAACTGGGATCATTTTGATTTGGAAAATTTTCAATAAATGGTTGGGGTGTACATGTATCTCGATAAACTGAAATGATTACAATGAGAAACGGAAATGTTACTATACAGAAAAAAATGTCCGAACGTCAAAATAGTACACTAACAAGTACATGTAAATAGGAAGTTAGTATATAAGATATCAAAAAATACATGTTAAAAATTTGTTCAGAAGTCTGGCATAAGTTATGTAGAACAGTATACTTCATGAATTTGAGAAAACTTTTATATGAAGATTCTGTTAAATCACATTATTCACACTACTTACTATTGTAGCTGGAACTCATAGGTCAGTGAATGTTTAATAAATAAATATCCTGTGCATATAAACAGATATTATTCTTAAACATAGTCGATTTAATGTACGATATATGTTCAATACATTGAATTTTAAATTAAGAAAATTGTTAGATTTTATTAAATCATATTTATCTATCTTTTGATAAACTGATTTAAACATTTTCTAACAAAACTCGAATAAATCAAAGATAAGATAGTTGGCTTTGAGAAATGAATTTAAATTATTGTAAATGACAATAAACAATTAGTTAATATGAAAATCGTAACTACTGAGATTTGAACATTTTTAGCATGATTTAATGTGGTTTTGAAGATAGGACTAATCACAGTCATCAAGAATTTGTTTTAGTTTATTTTATCAAGACGAGAGATTTAGTATTGTTTATAAAAGATTTTTTAGGTAATCAGAAACGTTAGAAGGCAAATTTAACTAAAAAGAAAATTTTGAAGACGTGTAATTTTCGAAAATTAATAGACTTGATCATCAAGTTTCAGATAGACTCTAGATAGGAATTGTGGTTGTCAGGGAGTTACTTTGATACTCTGCCCGTCCCACAACAATAATAATAATGTAACCAATTTACTGATTACAGGTTTACATGCTTAGATTTGACTTATATAATTTGTGTGGTAGATAATAGTATTACTTGCCATTTAAAACAAAGCAGAATGGAGTTTAAACAACTGATGTACTTGTTAAAAGTCAAATGCATTTTACAATTAGGCAATCATTCATCGTACATTTGCATTTCTCAATTTAATGAACAGAAATAATGTTAGAAAATGTTATGATTAATGCAGCTCGAGTTGGTTTACAACATATCCTAATGGTAAGGAATTTGGAAGTAGATATTGCATACGTCTGACTGAGTCATGTTGGTAGATGTAGGTTACGTGGTTGGGGTCCGCGAGACGAAAGTCATCGATGGTTAGAGACCTTGAACAACATGACTCAGAATCGTTTGCAATGGCGCAGGTGCATCCACTCTTTGTGTTCTCTCTAATTCTAACCTTCTGAATTCCTCATAATCTCTGCCTTTCTCCTTCTAAATTTATCTTACTGAATTATACTTCTCGAATCATATCTTCGCTCCCTAATCATCTCCATTACTGCTAATACTTCTACTATCGCTATCACTCTTGGATTTGAACTGACAGTTGCGTCTCTGTGCTGACGTGGTATAGTAACCTGAACTGATGTACTTACGTACGAAGTTCTGCAATGTATCTGTCTGTGTCTGTTGCATACCACTAAAATGAGTTATACATTTTTTAGACATTTTCTTGTGATTGTTAGAACTTGGAAGTACAGAATACTAAAGGTTTAGTTATGAAATAATTATGTAGCAATCACTTTCGATCAATGTATAAGAATTGAACGAAATAGCAGTATTTAAATTTCAAATGTCATGTTTGTGAACAATTTCGAACGCTAAAACAAGGTATTCACAAAACTTGCAACAAACTTGACAGTATGTCTTTCAGGTGTGGATAAAGATTAATAAAACATTCACTATCATCCAAATGTCATCTACTGTCACAACAGAACTAAGAAACAGCTGAACACTATTCGTAACTAACATAGGAAAAATATATTTCCATCAAAGTTAATCAACAAATGCATAAAGCATAAAGATGAAACCTACAATAATGGCAGTTTTAAGCACAATCATCCTTAAAATTGGAATTCAGAAGCAAGATTCCCGGTAATACAAGCATACAATCTGTGATAAAAATTCAGGTTTACTAAATTCAATGCGTAAACCTTATTTCACAATCGCTTGATTTTAGCAGCTGCATAAATTCACCTACTTTATGTAGAGTCGGTGTCAGTGGGTGTTAAACAAAGTAAGTTTACTGTCAATTTTCTGAACGTTGTTCGCAATAGTTCAACTAAAGTAAACGTAGATTATTTTAAATCACTAAACTATCCTCATTATAAACGTTAAACTTAAAGAAAAATTAGTATTATCCACTCAAGTTTTCATGTTTTTGATGACAATAGGCAGATTTAATGTACATTTCATAAATAAATCATTCTTATTCGTCAGTGATTTGTACTGTCAACATCTCGTTCAATAATATGCTTTCTATCTAACATTATTAAAATGAACTGAATTGTTCAATTGGTATTGTTATTCGCATCTCCAATTATATTATATATATATATATATATATATATATATATATATATATATATATATATATATATATCAACAGTGAACATGATTGACAAATAAGAATGATTTATGCATAAGCATGAATAATGAATTGATATTTCTCCTGCAAATATTACAAATATTTAAGGCTAAGTATATAATAATATTGTAATGATTCCTAAATAAACCACTTACTGGGAACATTTATAGCAACTTTAGTTCCACGGCGTTCACGAATGTTACGGGTTAGTGTTCTAGGAAAAAACAGAAAACATTAATTGGTAGATCAAAAATATTCTACAGAACACTGTAACAAATAAAACTAATATCACAGTACAGCATTCATAAGACGAAAATCTAATAATCGATGGTTAGAGACCTTGAATGACATGGCTCAAAACCGTTTGCAATGGAGCCGGTGCATGATTTCTTTTGTTCTCTCAAATCCTAATCTTCTGGATTCTTCAACACCTCTAGTTTTGACTTTCTAAACTTTTCTCACTGAATCATACTTCTTGAATAATATCTAATACTAACCTCTCCGATTACTTCTAAATACATTTACTACCTCTACTACGATTGGATTTGAATTGACAATTACCTCTCTGTGCTAATGTGGTATGGCAACATGAACTGATGTACTTACGTACGAAGTCCTACGTTGCATCTGACTGATTGACTGACTAAGGGATGAATAGATAAAAGTCACTTTTCTCCATGAATAACTGAGTGAAATATTTTCGAATGTGCAGACCAGTACATGGCATAAAAAGATGAAATTATTAACTGTTTATAAGGAGCGCTTAAAAAACGCAAGTTTTCAGAATTTTGTCCTCAAGTGCAAACTCAAAGTCAATCAAAGTAGTGTCGATTGTTTTATTCATCATGTTTTTTGGAAAATCTCCAGTAACCACATACATTTGTTCATCACAATGCCACTTAATTATGATTTAACCTTGATCAATTTTGATGTTTTTCTCTGATTATCAACAGCTCTTATTTGTTTCTTGAAGAAAGATACTATCTCATTTCCACCGTCTTATCTATCCTAGCATGTGATGTGAATGAGTATGTTAGATTATGCAGATTATATGTACAAAAAAAATCAGTTATTAAACTAGAATTCGTTTAAAAAGATGACCAATATTCAATTTAGAATTTTTTTTAATTTATATCAAAAAGTTGAAACTAGTAAGAAAACAAATAATTTTAACATTGTAGCAAATGTCAATTTTCTAGAAACATTTTAGTAATCTAATATCACTAGATAAAATACAAGCAAATGATTTTAATTTGGAGTTTACAAACGTACAAGCTAAATAATTAGGCAATTATATCTAAGTAATGCGTGAATTGATGTAATAAATAGTTCAATGTAAATTTTGAATGGATAAACTTGACTTTAGTTGTATTAAAGTGTAACACTAACGTTTATCCACACTTCGATAAGTGATTAGCAGCTATTTTATGACATGGAGAGTTTGCGTATTTCAAAATGGATTTTGAAATAAGTTCTCAATTATCATGACATTATTCTTTATATGATAAATGTTACTTATGTGAGATACCCGTTAAGAGCTGTAGAAAAATAAACTGTATAATCATTAAGACAAATAGACATAACCTGAAACTTATATGGGTCTTGTTGAACCCTTGGTAGTAAGCTAATAATATATTATTACTACACTGATTCGATTTATTTTCAAAGTATATTTAATCAGTGGTGACATTTAATCATACACTAAAGTTTACATATTTTGAATAAATAAAGGGAATAGTTCACTAAACAACAAAGTAAAAGTAAGCAATACACAGATTACAATATCGTTTGCATGTCGATAAAAGCAAAATAGTCTTTGTAAATGTACTGTCTATCAAGAATTCGAACTATTATCCGACTGTTTAGTGTGAATTCAGTGTATATATGAACTTAACGTAAAAAAAATAAACACTAAACATACAGAACTCGTTACAATTCAAATAACAAGAACATTTATTTCTTCAAAGCTTTTATGCTGATTAACCTTAAATTGCATTAAAAACAAATATTCTTAGATGTTGCTGGCCGCTATTACTCTCAAAACTAAATAATAAACAACGTAATATTTACAACACTCCAATAATATATATATATATATATATATATATATATATATATATATCCATTAACTAAACATACATAAATAAAAGTAGATAGTTCTCGCAATCCGTAAACAATGTTTACTGTTCCAATAGCATACATTAATGCTTTGATTGGAAAGATATACTATCATTTAACACAGTGAAAAATGAGTGAGTGAAATCTTAAGTGCAATTTTTTTTTAAAGCATTGTGTCTAACGAATTCACGCTAAGCAAAAACAGGACATTTTTCACTACAGTTTTTGTGAAGATTTGTGTAATTCACAAAGTTTCCATAAGGTGTTGATAGCATTTCCACAATTAGTGAAATATAATAGAATACTGAATAGTCGTTTTATTGCAACTTAAAATTTCTCAGTATCATATCATAAAAGCTATTTTGAAATCATTCTAGGTATTTTCATAAGTATTCTACTTTGAAATGAATATCTCGAAATTCCAAAAGAAGACTATAACTTGTACAATCAACGCAATAGAAACTGAAACAGATACCCACTGATGGCAATGAGTAATGATCACGTTACACTGAAAGCCAAATCAAGTGTAAAAATGTAAACCAAAGAAATCACCCAGGATCTTCTTCAATACGAGACCTGGATTCGCCTTTATTTGCACTCCTCTGACGTTTTCGAAACTGATGAGAGGCTTATTCTGTGTGGGCTTATCCATGGGACTTGTGGTGTCGGTGTCTGGTCTCACTATTGTTAGTTTCACACTGACAGCTAAGGAGGAGGAAGAACCAGTTTGTTGGATCCGAAATAACAGACGTGCAGTTTCTTTTACAGTGGCTTGAAATTCATAGGAAGAACACCAGGCAGTACATCAACGATGGCTATCCCAGAGCCTGGTCCTTTACAGAAACAGGTTACGGTATACAAAAACCTGCAGGAAACAGTCACTGATATCCAACCTACGACTATCAAAACTATATAGGACATCGAAGTGGCATTTTTGTGCCTAACACTACACAACCTACTGAACTTGCCGTCCTGAAATAACTCAATTCATGGTAGAACTCATAGATTACACCCTGGCTGCAATTTGTCAGCAAGTTGGTGAACTTTACAGAGAGATATCCTTTCTACCACATTTTTCTTGCTTCGATGGCACTAAAGCTTTCCAAACTGCCTACTATCCATGGACACTTCACTCTACTCATCTGGTCTCAAAATTAAAACACGACTTTGAGAGAAGCGTAAATCTGATCTAAAGTAAAAACAGCAAACTGAATCAGTTATATATCGACTAAAGTGATTGTAATTTCTAAACTGGGTAATTCCCATTACACACAAATCACAATAGATCATTTACTACAACAGAGATACACTGAAAATAAAATAACGAACTGCATAATGGATAAAGTTCAATTGGCGAAGTTCAATCTGAATCCGACTATGATTTATATGATCGATTTCCTTATAACTAAAGTGCTCTGGAATTCTATATCTCCAATAGATTAAGCCTTTCAACTAAACATCGTACAAACGACTGTTCATAAGGATCCAACTGATTGATGCTTCCTGTGCTCAATTACTTGGTGCGATGCCAATGTATTGAGTCTCGAGCGAAACACAGGCAGAACAAACTTTTCGGATCGGCAGATGAAGAATGAGTTTGTTTTCTTCGTTTGTTTGCTTCACTAGTCTTGGATAGGGGTCTCATATTTACAAATTATGTCAGTACTGAGACTTCACAGATGTAATTAAACCTTATCTGTTGTCCAATCTTTATCAAAGTGCGTACGTTGAAGTAAATTTAAGCGACAAATATAGCTCCAAAAACGATGTATTACATTTCGTATTCTATAGTGCTATTCATAAAATCGTCGACTCAATGACTTAAAACGGTTAGGAAAGGAGGAGGCCTCCACAGAGATAAGTTGCCGAAGGAGTCAAAAGGCAAAATTAAACATAGAGTGAAAATAAAAAAAAACAGAAAGTTGACATGTGGTAAATTGATTGCAAATATCATTTGCATAAGTAATGAGATGGAGCCCTCAGAATATTTTCTAGATCGTTCTTCATAATTATACTCATGTCGAAACATTCTTTACATTTACAAAGGTGTGTTAAAACAAGGTCAAACTTTATTAATCTATAAGGATCTTGAAATCTGAAACTACCAAGTGGTTAAACATATTTGATAAATTGTACTATTCTAGTCATTCACTTAGAATCACTTTATGTACCTCTGTGATTGTTATGCGTTAAAAAAAAATTTGCAAATTGTTCAGTATCTGCACAGTTTGAGCAAACGACTAATTTTTTGACTCTGAATAAGTTACACAACTATTTATTGCTTCTGTAAGTTTGATGCAATTATTTTAAAAATAAACTTTTTATTCAAATATATCACGTGTTTAGAAACACTAATGGAAGTTTCAAGTAAATTTATTGTATATTAAATAGAAATTAAGCTTACTTAAAACGCGGATGCCCTTGATTAATAGCAGCGTCTGGAAAGAATAAACTTCTTGAAGCACCACTGTCAGGAGTTGGTTTGGCAACTGGATAGCAAAAATCATCACAACCCAATCTAAATGGTAAGGCATAATCAATATAATAAATATTTGGTGATAAATTGTTTTTCTGGAAAGTAGCAGAGAGGAAATCACACAATGTAAATAGTATGAAAGAAGAAAGATTTTTAAATCAACTAATAATAATAATAATAATAATAATAATAATAATAATAATAATAGATTATTCAAAACAGTACAACAAACCATGATCCATTTGTTCCTATTTACAGGTTGAAGACATAAAAACCCTACTGACATCCCACATCCTAACATAAGTGTGACTGAACTGTTAAAACAAATATATATTTATGGATAACGGTAAAACGTTTGTGACTTCTAAGCATCCACCGATATGTTGCATAATTTTTAATTAGATCGTTAATAATGCGGCAAGATATTTATATGAAGTAACTGTACATGATTATTTGAATTTTACTGGTAAACAAATTCATCGGTGAATTGGAAGCACGAAACACTTGGAACAGAAACACGAGAACAGGTGGCATACTTCACATACTCAAACATAACATTCATGTCATTCAGGTTTTCACTTGACAGAGTCATTTAAATAGGAATTAATAATAACTATTTTTTTTTACATGTATTCATATCAGATGTCCTGAGCTTATCCGACATCTTAGTATTTACTTTCAATTCAAATTTAATTTCATAACTCATAAGTTTAACTAGAAATTCAAGAACATACCTTAATATTTATCCAGTAATGAGTGGTAGCTAACTACTTAGATTGATGACATTGAAAACTGATAACTTTGTCGATAATTATTAGCATAGGTGAAAAACGGTTGGAAATGAAGACGTATAAGAGTTTTTGCTTCATTAATTTTGAATGAAAGATTCAAAGCTTAATGATTTGTCACCTCTCTTTAGCCAAAAATGATCAACGCAGTAAGTACAAATACGTATCAATAAACAAGTGGTAAGACCACAGAAAAATAGAGTCTCTCTGTATAGACATATATTATAAAACGTTCTAGTGTTTATTTTGACACTGAAGCAAGAAATACACATCTGACGAGATAAAATTAATTAATTTAGTCTTATTACGTATTTAGCTACAATCAACCCAAAGTATTAACAGGATCAATAAAACAAGAACAAGGGTTCTTTATTATTGAACACAATAACTGCCGCAGTTGGAATACATAAAAGGAAAACACCAACATTGCATTCTGATCAATCTATCTACATAAGAGAAGACGAAAAAAGCATCTTAACATTATGATAACTCATAACTATGAAAGATTGGGAAAACTTTTTATAGGTTTCGCGCTAGTATTGCATTATGAAGTAATCCTTCATTTATAATATTGTTGAACAACATTTAATCATTTATCAGGTTATATGCTTTTGACTTAAATATACCAGAAACACCTCCTTATTTCACTAATTTTATACAGAATTCAGTTTGAATGTAATCAAATGTAGGTTATTAAATAGATAGTATTCATTCCTGTGATGACTTGTTTTTCAGCTTTACTATGAATATTTTAAACAAAAAAGGACATACCTTGGAAAGGCAGATATTGTCAATGCAATGCAATCTTTAGGAAGATTTGCCAATAAATCTAGTCGTCTTTTCTTCATGTTACACTCAACAGTGTTGAATGCATCCAATAATCGTCCAAAAGGAATTCTAGGTACTCCTTCTATCATATATTCAGCATACTCGGGTTGCCAAGTTATTTGCTCACTAAAATAATTTGAAATTGCTTTATTATAGGGAAAGTGCGTACAGGATGAAAGCTTACAAACATTTCCGGTATTGGATAGAAGTGTCAGTAACTAATGGATAACGAAAGTACAAGAAACTTCTGCCAAACATATGTCAGACATACGTTATCACATACCAAAAAAAGGGTTGTGTAAGGTGGTCACGTTAGTACGAATGAACCGATGTTCATTCCATGAGCGTTAAATCTTGAAAGGTTAGAAAAATGTTATTCCTTCTATACAGATCCGTTGAACTTCAACCGCTAACTTGTTTACTTCCGTCTCTAAGTCTTTTTTGTTTACAGTTCAATTTTAACGTTTGTCTAATCATATTAAGTGTAATGTCCCAACACCAACTAATACGTATAGAGTGCGTTTGAACAACAAATACGCAACAAGGATGAAGATGTTACATTATGCTTTATAACTGGCTCAGTACCAACTCGCCCCGAACCCAGAGAAGAAAATAACCCCCAGTCCAAGATTATTACTATATTTCAGACATTCATTTGTATATATAAGAAACCAGGCTACGCAGCAGACCAACTGAGTAACGATATTTACATGGAACTACAACAATAATGATAAAAAGCGAGGTAATGAGCACGCAAATAATCGGTTTTAGTTTATGAATGGAAAATGAAGTATAAATAAAAGCTAAGAGCTAGGGTAACCCGGGAATAATAAGACCGAAATACTCATTACGCAATCGTTATATGCAAATAAGACCTAAGGAAAATAGCTTTGAAAGTTTGTTGTCTTGTAGTCAAATCGTCTTTCACAAGATTAAGCAGATAATTCGTGAAATTATCAATCTTTATCTGAATTTAAAGTCATTGATGGTAAATATTCAATATTCAAGTTATTACGCTTTGTCTCTCAATGAGAACAACATATTGAAGCCTTTGATTATTTTTTATCCTTGCCACTATGTTATGGTCAACAAATATATTTATCGGTTATCACCGCAAAAAAAAACATGTTGGCGACTGTATAGGTCTGAAAATAAATTTACCCAACAGCATTCGCTTGTTTATGAGCAAACTATGCATGTAAAAACCATCTTCGTGACTGTATGAAAAAATTGAGAAGGAAATATTACCAAGTTAGGCAGTTCAACTATGATATAGGAATATAAATATGTTGCTTCTAAACTTTGGGTCAAAGAAATCAACACACTCTACTTACAGTGGTTTGAGTATACATAATAAATGCGGGGCCATGGATGAGTTGCTAGACTCATTTTCAGTTAATAAAATGGGACATCACATTTTATAGCCGAATGTAGCACAAGCTACAGGATTTTTATATATATAATTAGTTTAATTTTACTGAAACTTTCGTGTTATTTTCTTTGTCTGTGTTTTTTCAGTCGCTAAATAGATGGGCTAACTTTAGTGCCACTTACCACTTCCTTACAACATACAGTAAATATTTTTGATAGACTATAGATCGCCTTTTATTGAACAAAGAAGGCCTTTAAACCATACTAAAACTAACTGCACTTATCAAATGTTGGCTAGACAAAATGAAGGGAACTATTAGAAAGAGTCGGTAGGTTTAGAAATGCAGTGAAGCACAACAGTATATCTAACGACATTGTCTAGACCTAGACATCTTCGACCTTACTCTCCAGCCCATGATCATGGTTTTCTATAGGGAATATAAATAACCGAATCGTTAGGAACGTACCTGATATCGGTAATATTTTCCTTCATCACCTCTAATAACTCCGTAGCACCAAGGTAGAGTTGAGCTGCAGATGTTGAAGGGTCAATGCGAACCAGTGTGTACTCGATCTCATCACCCCACTTCAGTGTGTGTTTCATTCGTGAATTGAGTTTGTGATACAATAACAAAAACTGCTTTATGCCTTGTTCTCGAATGATCGATGCATATTTCTTAGTTTCAGGCCAGTCTAATGGTGATCCAACTGTTAACAAACCCATACTATAGGAAAATGTATCAGCTACTGTTGATGTTCTGAACACGAAACTTGACTAGATGATGAGAGGTCTATATATGAGGTCAGACGAAAGAAAATAAAGATTTTAAGATGTAACAAATTTTTCGTCAGCGGGGTCAATAGATCAATCCTCACCGTTAGATTGTAGCAATTACTCACCAAAATTTTCCGAAATGTGGCTCAACTTACTATGGGATTATCTACAGAATCCATTACTTTGGTTATTATACCTTTAGTGACTGGATTCTACCAATTTTCGCAAAATATTCTCATAATATATTATTATTTACAAGTCACTGAAGATAAACTTTATGATTAAATCATTAAAAACGTATGAGAAAATACGGAAAAGATACAGATACAAAGGCTATTTCTGAGGAGACATTTCTCACAGGTTGAAATCAAATGCGATGGGTCAACATCATGAATGTACCTCAAGTCCAATCAAATCCCACAGGACAATGAAATTGTTAGGTCTACAAACTGACTGACTAAATTACATCTACAGGTTTTCAGATATAACCACCAGGTGGAATGTTTGTTTTAGGGGCGAAATTAAGATTACAAACACTATTTCCCATATTCAGAAAAGAAAACAGTGGTCGCAAGGGTTAATTTCACTGGTTAATGCTGAATCGATTTTTTAAAACAAACGAAATGAACCTATCGCCACCAGGTATTTGGAAGAAACAGAAGTTCAATATAGTACCACAATCCAACGAAAGAATTTTTTCGTAAAAGTAAACCACATACGTCAGAAAGGTAAAAATACTTTCGAAACTTTCGAAGGAACTTCGTGCGCAATATACTGGAATTATTCACAGTGACACTTTTGGATACAACAAAATCTTATTAGTGGCCAGTAAGTCATTTAGGCAGAAGTAAATAATTATTCATTTACTGAATGAAAATTCACCTCCATCCCAGCTTTTAAACAACAAATTACTAGGTTGAGATCATGAACTACATTTTCGAAAAATATAAATATTTATTTTAAATTGGTAAGATATCAACAAACATTGGTAAAGTCCTAATTATGAATTCCTATGCTAACAAACACACCTGAAAAATGGCTAACCATTACAGTTTCATTATCCTTTCCTTAGAAAAACAGAAGAAAACATAACACACTCACTCAAGCACCCGCCGGAGGAAAGAATGGAACGTTACCAGCTTCGTAAGTTTGCCAGATTTAGCAGTTTGTCTCCCATTGGTTAATTTTTTGAGGCTGTTGTGTTAAAGACAATTGTGACCAGTTCTCAAGCTTCAATCTGAAATGGACAGAAATAACTTTAGTTTCAGTCTGGAAATGACGGGTGAATTAGAATCCATGTACTCTTCGTTGGCGCTGAAATAGGAAATCCTTAATCCGATATCAAAAGAAGTCGGTTGTGAGGACCTTATTAAAAGTTTCACTGAAGTCAGTCAAGACCACATCTGAAGTTAGCATCTTACCCGTTCATCCGATGACCGATAAAACTCCCAAGATAAGTGAAGCAGTCACAATCTAAACTAATTGACTTACTGTCACTATTTCAGGGGCCGATGCAGGCCAATCCTGAAGCAACATTTTGCATTTCTAGTGCAGAGGCCGCATCCCAAACATGCTTGTATGTTTGGTACTTTTCATGCCATATTAAACCTTTTTTTATTTATAGTGAATAAAATAAGCAATGCTCGATGTTTAGTCTCTGTTTCGTAAGTAGACATCGTTTTGATCAGCAAATTCAGTCAACAAAGCTAAAAATACAACCAAAACATCCAGCTCAGAAGACGAAACATCGCCACAATCATCCACCTGAGCTGCGAATTTTCTCCGCCATCTCGACGCTGTTCGTGTAATACACTCCCTTGGGTAGTCCTGCTGGTTGCCCTCTTGGTTATTGATGGGCGTAAACTAAACTTATTAAGTGGGTACCGATCGCAGAATACCAGCAGAATATATGTTTAACGAAAAAGGTACATACCAATTTTGCAGGCTTGTTCAATTATCTACAAGACAGGTTTACAGATAAGATACTAATGAGGTTTTTAAATAAAATATGTGAAGCAAGAGACCTTTTACACAGTTATGACAACGGGTTTGTGAATGCTTTTATGTGTTGGTACAGTACTATCCTTCAGATAATGTCATCACAGAACCTCTGACTTTGGCGAACTCACACCGCTCTATAATATCATGAATGATTGTGTCTTTTGTGGATTGTTTTTGAATGGTCTGCTTTTCCACACCACTCATTTCCAGGTGCGATAAGTTCTGTTTAGTTGTCATTCGTTGTGATTCGAATATGTAGCTGAAAAATAAATAAAGCATGAGGTGTTAAGGTCGCAAAATAAGGAATGTAAAGTACAGAGGCTATTACGCCAAGCATTGCGTGGTTAGTGATATGGCTCTGGAGTGAAAAACAGCTAACCAGCGACAAAGTTTGACATGGAGTAGCCCATCCTCTAATGTAGCTTCACATAAGTAAGGCTCATCGAAGTTTAGAGTATATCTGAATTGAGCAGGGGCCTCACTTGACCAGGTGGATAAATACAATAAGTTTCCACTAAAATTTGTTTAGCGCTATCGTCAGACTCGTTTTAGTGATCCAAGAAGACCACTGGCAGTTCCACGAATCAATAGCTCCAGGTGCGAACTGGACAGTACATAAGTCGTTACCGGAGTGGTAACAAATTTATTGTTCACACCATTCTAATGTCCATTCAAATTGCCGATACAGTTCTTCATCGTAATTTTTAAATAGTGATACAAATACTATGAGATCCAGAATATTTCTATGCTTATTTAATGATGGTTGTAATTAAACTATCATTGAATGCATTATTCAGCCTTGAATGTAATATTTGAGGAAACATCATTTTATGAGCATTATCATATCGCATTTAAATGCCTATTCTGGCTAGTCTAATCTCAAATGATCAATTTGGAGGGAGCAAGTTTAGGCAGTGAGCTGTCTTCATTATACTGTTCCGTAAAAGCCTACAGTAAGATGTTGGAAAGATGTGCTGGCTAACAGTATAAGCCAAAACATTAAAAATCGCAGGAAACAATTCAATTTTGGACAAGAAATTCGGAAACTTAATCGTTCGTCAAGACATTAAATTTGTCCTTATTCATTGACAGACAGTCAGAGTAACAATGCTGGATATTATTATTTTTCTCCCTTCAAAACTCCTATCTCGTGTATTTTCCTATTCATATAATGGCGTCTCCCTTCTATAAATCCTATGGGTATCATGTTCAGTTAAAGCGTTGCTACCACTTCTTACACTACAATGACTGGGAAGACTAGCAGCAGTATGTATCCCAGGGTTAGTGGTGAATCGAAAATCCTTCAAAAACGTCAACTGATAGAGTACCTTGGAGTAATGTCCGCAATTCGCATCACTTGACCCAAGCACCATTGGGTCTACAACAAGGACATCAAGACGACACTTCTCAGATTACCACTCCTAGTAAGACCGGTAGACAAAATGAGAATAGGGGAAAAAAAGTCGTGAGGCTCAATCGACACAGTCTACCATTAAGAAATTGCACAAGGGTAACTGTATTACCTGCTTGATGCTAGTCAAAACCAGTTACGCTGCATTGAATTCAACTTCTCCAGTACGTAATTTCATTTTCACTGCGACACTGCAGTACCCAGCAATGTCACTATGGGCGAGTTTAAAGTCTTGATTCAATCGACATGGTAGACGTGTTCTTATGTCACTGAACTTGTGGGACTGGAGGCTACAAATAAGGATGAGGGCTTTAACCTGGTCTATCGACAAAAAATTCAGCCGGAAATGTGCGCATTTACTTTGACGATGCTCACAAGCGTAGGAAATCATCGTCTTTGTTTATAACTAGCTTCAAACGTCGATAACGCGTAATATACATTGATAAGCTGTTGCCGAAATGTTGGGCTAATATCTGGACTGTATCTGAAAATGAGCTATCTCGAGGGTTCGGAGGCAGGATCAAGTTACAGTACCTGTCTAGCTCACTTGCATCTAACTTTCGGAGTAGCAGCCGAACCTTCCAAGCATCATCTTGATTGGCGAAATCAAGTTTGAGTAGATCTTTATGACGCCGGAACGATTTGTCAAAGGTAACGTTGGTATCACGACTATAATGAAGATCAGCAACGCTTGTAAGTTTCGGAATGGATTCTGAATCCGGATAAACAGTTCTGGAAGTTTAGATACGTGCCTAGCCCAGTTAATCCAAATAGAAAGCAATTTATCTGGGTGATGTTGCAATTGCCACTCCTTGGGTTTGATCAAATACTCTTAGCTGGAGATACCAATTCCCGATCTCTGAATCTCAAAATGTTACGGGAGGAATGAAGACATTTGGCTGATTAAAACCTTTATATAAATATCATTAATTTCACTGTGCTTTTGGGTATATTTGTTTTACTTAACTTATGAACTTGTTTGAATTACTATTTTCGGCCATTTTCGGACTCCTGTTTGTCTTGGTTGTTCGTTTTCAGTTTTTTGCTCCAGGAATCTATTAAATAGAAGAACGACATTAGTCGTCTATTTGTAATAAACAAACAACATTTTGGTCGATTATTTGTGAATCGGCAATAATCCATGGTACCTACTTTGGAGTTTCGTTTTGATATAATCTTTGGGTTCGTGAATTGCAAATAGGTCGATACACAGTGTTTCTAAGGATCAAGGAGCAAAA